CCCCCTCTTCCCCTATTCGCCAACGTAACGTCTTGCTTCTCTCCCGGGGTTTTAGAGTCGAGACACTCGCCAAAAACGACAGAATGAGCGAACCTCCCTGTGTTTAAGACATCTCGTGCGCCAGTAGCAAGCTGCTTCGATCTATAAACCCTATACCTCTCATCTTGCAAGCGGTATAATGAGGCACCGCCAGTAATCCCCGCGTGGCGATGGGGCCCCAAGTGTTTAAAAAGCCCCCCCAAAGAAAAGATAATTTAGATATCATCCCTTCGTCGACATCCAGCGGTGAGAAGCAGCACTGAACGGTCCATCATGCCAACTGACCCCCCGAGGGTTAACGCCCAATCCCCTCGCGTGCCAACTGACGTACCCATAATTCCACTATACAATATTCTAATTATGCGGCTCATTCCATTGTAACATTCCCGAGCTTATTATCCGATTGCCAAGATAGACACGAAACCCCGGGGTATTTTTTTTTTCTCCACTCTTCCGACGAAAAGTCTCAATTCGACCCAATTTATGTCCCTCCAACAACGGAAAGGATCAATTCCCAGGAAATAACCCAGTCCCCACCGCCCCCGCCCCTAAAAATACGACATCCAATCCGATAAACCTCATTCAAACATAAATTAATTCCCATAAAACCCTGACATTTTAATTGAAAACACGCCTCACCCCCCATTCGAGACCCGGAAAAGTCATCTCCCCCCCGATTGTCTTCTCCACGCACAGAAGAAAAAAAAACAGGAATAACCCCATAAACCATAAAACTCGTAAAAATTCACCATTCAATCTGGAACAGAGTGGCTTACGCCAGTCAATTTTTCTCCTCCACTCCCTCTCATCTTTTTTTTTTACATCGGACGATTTATCCCCCCACTATTACCACGAGAAGTTTTATTTTCCCCCTTTTTTCTCTGGCTTTTCATCCTTGGGTTTGGTGGGTTGACGTTCCGAAGAACGTACTCCGGCTCTTCCTCCAACTCATTCCGTATAACCCCGGCAACCCCCTACCCGGTCGATTCCCCCCTCCATCGCCCCCCTTCCCCCTCCAACGCCCCCCGCCCCCCTCCCGCCGCCTCTAGCGCTGCGTTTCTCTGGCTTCTCGTGTACATGAACCCATCCTTCTGTTCGCCGTCTCGCTTCCACCCTCGTGGCTTTATCCCGTACTCCAGTAGTTGGTTTCTCCCGGAATAGTGGGGGGACTATTCGCGTGGCGCTGGTGGTAAGGGACACCCAACGGAAGCAGTGGTGGGGGGTTTGGTTGTCCCAGAGACGGCGGTACCCAGTGGACGTCCAGGGGTGGGGGGCGAATACCGAAGTGCATGGGGGGGATTGCGGGCGGTGGGGGGTTGCGGGAGGGGGGGAGGGGGTTGCGAGAGTGGGAGAGAGAGACTAGGAGTCTCACAGCGAAAAACCAGAGCAACAGTGTGTCGCGCATCGCCGCTGTACCAGCATTGACCCCGAAGCTCTAGGCGACGAGCTTAAAAGTTTCTCGACGATTTGCTTTCTTTTCCACGTGAATTAAAAGTTTTTTGAATTGAGATCACACAAACTCCGGTGGTTTCGCCCGAGGAATTCTGTGACGATTCCGGTAGTTGAGGGGGGGAGTGTCATTAATTGGGGTTGTGAATTTTTATTGTGACAACTGTATGGAGATGGTTTTAAACGTGATTGCGATCATTGTGACGTGATTTAAATGGGTCGCGGGATGTGCTGTGGCTGCTGATTGCTCTTGATGACAAGAATAGATGGATATGAGTTGTGCTAGGGGGGTAATAGTGTGTGATAAGTTGTCGAAGGCCTAGGGGATGGGACTGGCCATGAGTTTATAGCGAATCAACCCCAGTGCTGTTTTACACGTTGAGGTGAGAATGGGCACGTTTATGTCAGTCCGCTCTGCGAATTGTCACGTGAATTTTTCCCCCACTGACCCACTTTTTTTTTCACGCGAGCAGGAAAGGGGCGAAGTTGTCGGGTGACGCGTGGAAAATACGGATAATTGGATTTTCGTTGCTTTTCGGAAGATGAAAAATGCCGGTATTATTCAATAACTCGCGCAGCAACGCCGTATTTACATTTTCTGGATGCGTGAGGGGGCGGNGGGGGGGGGGGGGGGGGGGGGATAATGAAACGAGAGTAACGCTGTTAATTAATTAACCGAGCCTTTCAATTTTTCTCTCCGCCTCTTCCTCTTACCGTTATCGGACTTTTCACCGCATTTTTAGCGCTGAAAATGCACTCATTACGCGCGCGAGTATCGACTCCCTGAAATATCCGGAATATCGATGATATTGGTAATCAATTGTTCCGTTTTTAAAACTCCTGGGAGTAAAAACTAATGACGGCAATAGGCTATCTCAGATGATGAGCGACGCGAGTGAAGTTACACTTCACCAGCGATAAATGGCTGGCGTCAATGAGACTAATAGAGCTGTATTTTTTTACCACCTGATTTTTCGTAGAACGCTGAGGAGGAGGATGGCAGAGCTCGAGACGCTGGATAGCACTGAGTGCTTGGAGTGCTCAGGGCCGCCGCCCGTTTTTCGGCTGCCACCACCACCTCGGCCACCCTTTCTCACTGAGGGCACTTTCTGCTCGGAGGCACCCCTCGCTGAGCTCGAGGACTGCGTTGCCATTCCCGTAAGTATCAGAAACATAACACTTACATTTTCAGTTAACAGTGAAAACCCATTGAAAAATAACCATTCACGTGTATTTCGAGCTATTCTCACTCTCGTCGCATTGACACTCCTCTCTCCTCACTGTTCGCAACGTTTTCCGTTGTACCTCGACTCTTCAGGCACTAAAAGCAACATCTAAAAATACCGTCCATTGTGTTATTTTTTTCTTTAACAGATGATTGATGCATCCTATCACACTAATCCGTCGCTCCAGAATACTGCCCTCATCATCACGTGCGCCGTTGTTTTACTGCTAATGGCAGCCATTGTCTCGGTTGTATTTTGGAAGTAAGTATCAATGTTGCTCGTTGTACGACAGTAGATTAACTCCTCGGAACTTTGGAAATCAGCGCTTGAAACTTGCCCCGCAACGCGGAGGGTAATAGTCGGTAAAAATTACGGAATTATTCACGTAATTCGCAATGGGAAATCGTTTTCCGGTGATTTTTCGGGGGAATGGAAGAGAAGAAATCTGAAACGCTCGGGGAATTGTCACGTAATTTTTCGCGAAGGAGTAGAATCTTGCAGAGACTTCCCGACTCGTCCATGAAATAATTGATATTCACCGTACGATCTTATTTAGTTGCGATTGGTTCAAGTATTTAATTCTTGTTCCGAGAAAGAAACATCTCAATAAAAATAATTTTGTCTATCGGTCAAGTTGATCGCGTAAGTATACGATGTTATTGTCGTTGCACAGGATTGTCAATTTTCTCATCTCCCACAATCTTCAATACAATTATCCAACGGAATGAGTATGAATATGCATGAATCGTGAACAATTGAATTCAAAAACACTTCATTCCGTCTCACCTCGTTCGGGCCCAAGCGAAACACCAAAAAGTCAGATTCATTCAAAAGTGTAAGGGGCGGTAACTTGAAAAGCTCGAGTTTAGAGAGTTTGGGAAAACCGAATTATGCTAATTACCATCAACCGACGAGAGAGATAGGAGCCATTTCTAGTTCTACTGAGCAGTTTCCAAACTCGGTAGGTGGGTTTAGATGTTTCAAGTCCCTTTTAACCCGAGTCAAGGTTTCTATAGAATGTCATTACCAGGAAATTTCCTATTAAGCGGCAATCAATCGTGGATAATTCGATTTCTCCCTCAAAATCGAATCATCAATTTGACGCCATTCACCTGCTACCACTCGCATTCTCTACACTTGTTGAGAGGTCTTGATGAAGTTGACTGTGGCGATTGTGATTTTGGGGGGTCCTTATTTATTTCGTACTCTGTTTGAAATTTTTTGAAATTTCATGGAAGATATTGTAGGGAATCTCGTGAGAGTGAGATACATTGGATCGAATTTAGGGAAAAAATGGGTATGACATTGGAAGTTTTGAGTGGAACATGAATATTCGGAAATAAAATGACATGAATTTTCAATTTTTCCCTGAATTTCCCTGATTTTTCTGAATTTTTACAGAATAATTGAACTGAAAAATTAAGTATTTTATTGATTTCCCGATCATTTGAATAGAAAATCAATGGAATATTTAATTTTTCAATGACAAGATTTCCTGAAACTCCAGTGAACTTGAACACGATAGAAATTTCCGGGACTTGAAAATGTTTTACAGTATATTATCAAAATCCTTAGAAAGATAATGACACTTCTACGTTTTTCGAGGAAAAAACCCTGAAAAAAGATATTTTCCGCGTGATTTTTCCTCAGAAATTCGATTTTGTAGGTCAAATTCGTCTCCGATTACTAAAAATTAAAGATTGGAATTTTTTCCAATCAAAAAAACGACTTGAAAAATCCCCAACGTATTTTTTTTCGAAATTATTTTTTAAATAACATCACAAGTTCCTGAGCCCTCTCAACTATAGAGTAAAATATACTGAGCCGATGCATGGGGGCCATTAAACATCGAGTTAGTAATCCTAAATGAAGTCTATACATAACATTTCGGCTAGAAAATTTTTTTCTTCAGATATTCCCAAAAATTTTAATGACCGAATAACTCACAAAATACGGCTTCTTCCGTATTTTTCACAATTAACGAGCGAAAAATTCCGATCATATTAAAAAAACTATTTCAAAAAACAATGCGTTTGCGATTTTTGTTGAGTTGATTTTTTGATTCAAAAAATACGATTCTCCACTTAAAAAAAATTTTTCTCGCAAAACGAAAAAGTATTTTTCCCGGGTCGAACCTCCCCTCAAGATGACCCTGCAAATACTGCCCTAGCATCTCAAGTTAAGACATTAAACCATGCCTTAAGCCATTTTAGAAGTCTTACTCGAGGATCGTTTTCAAACTTACGACGTCTCCTTCATATTTCCAAACGCCTCACTTTCTTTTCTTCCGCGGTCGAGCATAAAAACAACTCATCATTTTGCATTCATAACGCGGATTGTATTAAAAAAATCAACAGTACACAAAGAGAAATTTCCTAGAAAAATTCTAGTACGGCTGTGAAAAATTCTAGTGCTGTTAAGGTAAGATTTCTTGGTATTTCTGGGGATCTGTGAATTTTCCACAGAAATACGAGGAAAAATTCACGTTTTCCCCACCAAAATTTCTAGTACCGGAATTTGAAGCTGGCCGTCACTTTGCGCCTCTTTCCCCGTGCTAGCACAACAATTTTTCTAAAAAAATTCTCTCCGCGTATTTTCCTCAGAACAATCTCCCTATCTTTCTCAGCCTCCCCCCCCCCCCCCCCCCCCCCCCCCCCCCC